GCTCACAAGCGCTGCGCTGGGGCCTTGGCACTCGTACATGTGGTGGGTAAGCGTCGGAGGGAAGATGCACACCACCACAACCGCCTTGAACAGTTGACTGGATGCAAGACTTGCATATTTTTCTTACCAAGGTCGAGCGCTCCTGCACAGCATGTGCAAATGTTTCGCAAGCTCCAATCAAAGCGTGGGCTCCGAGCTAGTTTGTTGAAGAAGGCCTGAGGCGGCCTGCGTGCTAATCCTACACAACTCAGAAGCTTCACCCCCATCCAGAAAACAAGCTTGCTGCTTCATGGCATTGTGACCACCAATCTGAGTTTGTGGGGCAGTTTTTGTAAGGTGGCAGTGCTTCGATGCCTATGCGCGTGTGAGCCCTTACCCCAAGACACCCTCCGTCGTTTGCATCGTACAGTAATGATTCTTTCATTGGAGATTGAGTTGCAAGGCATGAGCCTGGGTGTGTACCAGATCGTCCAGGCCAGACGGCTTAACCTCCCCCTTCCAGACATAAGACTCTTGATGTCGAAAAAACAACGGGACTCTGCATATATACATATTATCATATGGCCCATTTACAATAGCAGCACCAAGGTTGTGTGGACGGGTAGGAGCTTTCCGTCTGGTTTTATCAAGGTTTGGGTGGGATTTGTTTTTCAATGCCCAGAACGGTTGGAGGCTATCAACCTCTTCGTTCTCGGCCTAACGCTGGTAGAAACGCATTGCCCCTCCGTGGCCTTCGCAGTGACTCTCACGCTGCAAGCCGTGCCTTGGAAGCTTTGTTGGACTCGGATTACCGTTTGTCACATTCTTGGCCTGGGAGAGTATACGGCAAGGCTTCAAAACAAGTGCAAGCACAGACATAGATGTATACACGGCTCTTGAAGAGAAACACCTATTTGTGCTTGTTGTGAGCGAGTTGATGTTGTGCATTGACGGCACCTAGGTCGCCCTGGCTTTGAATTTCTTGGACTTAGCAGGAATGGAGCTGTGGCAGTGGGTGGCGAGCTCAGCTCTGCCTCCAGCTGCACGCCCACACCTTCCCTTCTGATGTTTGTGCCACTTTCTCTATCTTGTTCGAAAACATTTTGTTGACTTGTCTCAAGCCATTAATCAACCTGAGGCATTTATGCTGGTCATCTCCAGCGGGCTGGGGACTTGAGACAGATGAGTGTTTGAAACATTTCAAGCTGCTTGGAACGGGCTTGCCACTTTCGTTTTTGCTCATGTCCTCTTGGCCATTTTCAACAAACAGGTGTTCGGTAGTGACAGCCTTCTCGCTCACCTACGCGAAGCTTACGGAGCTATTTGTGGTCGTTGCAGCTCATGCGTTAATGCATGTGAAATGATGTGTAGCCCACTTTTGTGGTCAGCATGCCACACCAGTGCATAGCTAGGAGTTGCTTGCCGCCAGGAGGAGGGGCTCCCCAATATTGACGCATCCTTTACAGCAGCTCCTGTGGCTTTCTTTTTTCAGGACTGGAAGGAGGAGCAAACACATATGCATATATACGTGCATATGATATATATATATTATTATATATGTTTATAGATATACTTATATATATTTACAAGAACTGTCACTGTCACCAATCTGACCAGTGTATTTTGAGGGCTATGAGGGGCACAGCACTGATTAGACAAAGAGTGTTCCGGGTCATGATAGGCTTTGTACTTCCACCTGCTTTTGGTGCTTGCCGGCATGCTCAGAAAATGGCAGAACTTGTTGTCCAACATCTTTTGATACCGACGGTCATCTTTGCTGAGGCGAGTCCAAGCGATGAAGCCACTTCATTGCCCAGGCAATGTGGCTTTTGGTTTTGGTGTGATTAATGCAGATTTAGAGCCATAGGCGTTTCAGATCCGTCCTCTTCCTGGATGTTTTTGGTGATGCAAGCTATGTGGGAGCACCTATCATTCAGATGTGTGTGTGTGTGTGTGGGTATGTGTGCGTGTTTCCAGCTGGAGTTGTGCTGATTTCCATAGAGCTGAGGACCCAACAGATGCAGAACATTCGCTTCCACGGTCTGTGGAGCAAGGTAGCATGCCCCGACCTTGATGCTTTTTTTTGGGGGCTGGTTGTCACTGTTTGTCACAACAGTTTCAGCTTGATGAGACTTAGGCAAGGCGCAGCAGGGCGCATAGGGAAGGCCTGAGAATGCTGGGCTATTTATTCTGTAGGTGCAGGTAAGGAAGCACCAGCCGCCATGAAATTGACAAGCTGGCATATCAGGTTCTCACATGTGAGAGTACTGTCATTGACCTGGCGTCTATCAACCTGCGACAGTTGCAGGGCCGCAACCTGCTCAGGCAACAGCGTTGGCCGACTGCTGGGACAAAGGCAAGATGGCCCAAATGGCTTTGCGCCGATGGGAGGCCGTGGGTATTGGGAATCCACGAATTCTCTCCGGTAGCTGGTGCGGTGGTACGGTGGTGCAGTTGTGGCAAGACAAATGCTCCAAGTGTGAGAGGCCATTCCGGAGTTCCATATGGCCAATGAGGCTGGGCGACTCACTGCGGAGTACTGCAGAGCACCCTTTTTGAATGCAAGCCCGTCTCCAGGATGCAGAAGCGCTCTGGCAGTACCGGAAGCAATTCACTGTTTGGCGAAAGGCAGAGAAGGGCCACTGGCCTCATTGCATTCGGTGAAGCACAAGTGACCCAGCCATTGAAAGGCTCAAAGCCTAGCTGTGTCTGAGACTCTTTTGTTGCAGGCTCTTATGGTGAGCTGGCAAGAGAACGAGAGAGTGCCTATTCCAGCAGAGGCAAGGGCTGGCACTTGCTGATGCCAAATGGCTATGCTAGTCGAAAAGCATTGCAGAAAGTTTTGGCCCTCCAAATGTTCGAAGGTTAGAGACAGCTTGGAGCTGAAGGGGTGGTCAGAGCTAACCGCCGTCGAGAAGGCGGCTTCTGCTTGTCACTACATTCTTGATTTTGGCCGGTGCAACCTGTGTTGAAACCATAAGACACCAGGAGTAAGGAGCAAGGACGCTACTAGGGGCTCCTGGCATCGCTACTAGGAGCAAGGACGCTACTAGGGGCTCCTGAGAAACGACTAAGGGGGCAGGGTTGACTGGGCACCGCAACATCCGTTCTGGACGCCAGAGTGAAGATGTCTTCACCGGCACGCTTATTGGCCCGCTCTATGGCAATGGACAGCAGCCTGGGTGCGCCAGATTCCTGTCTTGGTCGTTTTGCTAATATTTTGGTAGGTGAGAGACGGTGAGAGGTTCTTTTGATCGAGGTGTGAGCGACTATATATATATATATATATCCTCTTCTTTGCTGTTGGTCAGGAACCACGGCAAACCTTACTACTACGACCTTGAGAAGGGTAGGGTCGCCTGGAGAAGTAGGAGAGCAATCCTTGTCGCGCTTTGACAATGCAGAGCGCAAACCGGAAAGTGGCCAAATAAGAAATAGCAACCTACTGAAATGCAATCTTCAGCTTTTGGCTGGCACCTTGGAAACTGCAATCTGCACTGAGGCGAAAGCATTTTCGGTGTACAGGGTGAAAAGTCGCTAAGTCTCAAAGAGGTTGGTGGCTGGGTTTGGGCCTTGGTTGTGGAATGCCACCCGTGGGAGCAGTCTTCAAGACAATGTGAGCATTTCTTTGGAGGATGTGGAAATCAGTGGAAACACCGAGGTGCTTGCTACATGACGGTGATGTTCCGTTTCATCTCACGTGCTTCTTATGCTTCTTGTTTTCTTGTTCTTCGAGGTCACCACGTTCCAGCGAGCGGTGCAGGGTCTACTTGCTTTGCTCCTCGGTATTGGTGGTAGAGCATCGGTTTATATATATATATGTGGAAGTCAGTGGATTTTGCTTGAAATTAAGCATGGGTCATAGGGCTACGACTAAGGATTCTTTTTTTGAATAGTGCTCCCAGCCAAGGAGTGAACCAGCCGAGGACGAAAGTGCGGGCACCAATCTGTGGGATGACAACTGGACGTTGTGCCAGAATGCAGATAACAGATTTCATGTCCAGGAAGGGCACCGACAACGTATATATATATATATATAGGGCTATATACTGCATTGATTGGAGTAGCATATGAAAGTTGAGATGAATCCTGAAGCCTGAAGATTGATGTTCTGCGGTTACCGGTTGCTTTGAGATTCCCGTTGCTGAGGTCCACAGGCTCCTGACCCTGAGGCTTGTTTTCTTTGGTCTTTTCTAGGATGCCACATATATAGAATGCTTGTAATTCTCATACTCCGCTAACGTTGGCTGTTGGTGGTGGGAGCTGGCAAGACGGTGCGGGCAAACGAACTTGGGTGACCATCTAGAACTTCAGAACGCAAATAGGACAGTACGGGCAGAACCACTTAAAAAGCAGCCTGACATGATGGGATGCCATTCACTTGTTCGGCCCGAGTGTTCTATTTCTATAGTTGCAGCGTTTGGACCTTCAGCATGGCAACATGGACCCTAATGGCTATGTGTGTGTGTGTGGCTGAACGACCAATGCTGAACTTCGATCATTGGAGGGTTTATTCATGTGGCTCCCTCCGGTACCCCGACCAGCACATGCTGGGCTGGCAGTTGGCGAGCCGACGCCGGTCCTTCACAAAGTCCATGCTGCAGTCTTAGTTCCGGCATGTGGGGGCAAGTGGTGACCCAAACATATCCTGGTCACTAGCGTAAATAGACATGACAAACAATTTGCTGTTTCATGTGCTAACAAGGCACAACTTCATGAGTTTTGCTTAGTGTGACTGAGAAGGGACTGCGGCCAATACTTGCTGCCTGGTTTTGACCTCTCAACTCCCATTTGCTTTTGCCCAACCGGCCGAGCATGGCTTGACTAACTGTGACTAACTTCGCCAGCGAGGATACTTGAAAGTAGGCCGATATATGGATAGGATGGGTGTTATATATTCCTTTGAGCTGTTTCTTTCTGAAGTTCCAAATTCTTATCTTAGTGGACCAACTGTATTAGGTGAAAAACTCACAGGCACTTAACCAATTTTTGTTTCCTTTTTCGTAGGCTCATATCTTTTAGGGAAGATTCGATTTGCAATGTCCCGCCCGCTGAAGTAGATCATTATTCTGTGCAGAATCGCATCCGCCCAAAGCCATACGCATGCCTGATTTCCTTGGCGATGGTTGTGGAGATCGGATATTGACAGCTGCATCTCCCTGGCTGCGATCCAACAATGGCTGCGAGGTGAGAAAAAGTGCCAATGGCTGGTCACTGGTCGCCACAAAGCATTTTGGTCAGGGAGATGTGGTCTTGGAAGAATGCCCGGTGATGCGCGGCCCCTCAACGTTTCCATGGAATACGCCCGAGGAGCTCAAGAAAAGCTTGGAAGGTCAAGACCGTTGTGTGCGTGTGTCAGAATGGATGTTTGCATCGCACGTCGCCTTCCCAACTCACTCAGAGGACTTATGGATCGATGTGGATTTCCTCACAAATGAATTGGCCATGTTTGCTCCCTTAGATAGCCATGCAGCGGATTCATACCGCGCAGAACTAGCGAAGATTATGGCTCCATCACAGCTAAGTGAGACTTTGTTGCGAGGCCTGTTAATGGGAAAGTTTTCCTCCTTTCCTTACGGTGATGGCAGCGATGGCCGATGTTTGTTTGGTCTTCTCAGCAAGCTCAACCACTCCTGCTATCCCAACACTGTTTGCCTTTGGCCTGGTCCTGTGAGCGCGCCCAGCGCCCAGCTACGCGCGGTCACTCGGATCCAGGCAGGGGAGGAGCTGACCTTTTCCTACCTCGGCAATGACTTTCCACTGCGAGTGCGTTCCACGGAGAAGCGGCGCGAGAGGCTTTTTCGAGGCTTCGAATTCAACTGCTGTTGTGAGCTGTGTGAAGCCAAAGAACCAAAGACTACTGGACAGCTTTGCAAGCGTGCCCTGGCCTTTGGGAAGCCACCACCCTTTCCAAAGTCGAAGAAAGAAGTTGTTGGTGGAGGCCAGTGAGCTCAATCCCGATACCCGCGCTGGCATCAAAGCAATGAAAGCGGTGTGGTATCGGCAGGTGGCGAAATCCAAATTTAGAGTGGCAGGGAAGGAAACATGCTTCCCGGAGAAAAGGCTCATGAGCAAATCTCGGCCCACGTGTTATACAGAGAGATGCTTGGAGCCCCCGAAGAATCGAACTTCAAAGCAGTGTCCGTCAGTGGTTGTGGATCAAAGCTTTGACTCAGGACGGCCTTCTTTGGACAGACTCGTGGCTTGGCAGTCGTTGACGCTCCCATTTGCTCCAGGCCTTTAAGCCCCACGGATGTTTGTGCAAATCGAATCGCTAGTTCGGTTTTGGGACCCCACCTGCACCGGGACCCTGTCAAGTGCAACTTTCCTGATCAGTGGACCCCTTTCGTGATTTGGGCTGTGTGACATTGTTATGACCAAAGGTAGCCCTGTTTCCTCAATGTAGTCGGAACCAGGTCCCTGAGTGATCAAAGGCACTCACTCATTTTCACACGGCATGCATGCAGCATCTAGGGATCACAGGCCATGTCTCCTACGTCCTAGTTTTCCTCAGAATGCTGGGTACCGGACATTAAGTCTGGATCTTCAGGACTTTTGGAACTTTTGAGTTGACCAAGGTGGCCAACTAGCTTTCACCTGGGCTCCTGGCATCGCTACTAGGAACAAGCAGCTACTAGGGCTCCTGGCCGTACTGCTAGTAACAAGAACGCTACTAGGGGCTCCTGGCATCGCTACTAGGAACAAGGACGCTACTAGGGGCTCAACTGGTGTCAGAGTTTGCCGGTCCTGAGGTCCGCCGAGCCAGGTCGACAACCTGCCGTGGAGGGTCTTGCTACGACTTACTCAGGCTGGGTCTTGCCAAGAGCGGCGTGTTTTAGCGAGGGGCCTTAAGTAACCATGTGCTTCAGCAAGGGGTAAGTTTCTTCTTCGTACTTCGTTTTACTTTCAAGATTTCACTGTGACGCAGCCCCCCAAATTTTTGCAGCTCCCACACATCCCACTCCTCTCATCCTCATGCAGTGCGCTGTGTGCCGCAGGTGTTGCAGTGCTGTCGAAGTCTCAGGAAGTTCGTTGCGCTTCGGGGAGCGACGGAGCCGTGTAACGATAGAAGCCAGTAAATGCCCTTGCTACTAGTAGCTTCTTGCTGTTAGTAGTAATGCCCTTGTTCCTGGTGCACTTGTTCCTAATTAGCTCATGAGCTCCCAATTGAACAGGGGCTTGCTTCTCCGCAGACATGACTTTGTGAATGTATGGGAACTAAGTGGTCTTCATACACCAAGCTTTGGAAGCGTTGGTGATGATGGTTGGTGAAGTGCAATGTGATGTTTTTTTCGACGCTAGCCTCACCTTTGAGTAGCAGAATTGAGGTAGCAGAGTCATGAGTGAGATTGAGCTTTGGGGTTTGGGCATGACCGCATGGCATACGAGAGTTGCAATGTGACCGCGAGCTCCAAGAAACCTACGGCCAGCCGCAAGCAGCCATTGCGGATATATTTGGAGCCCTGCGACCAAAGAGACATAGCAGACTGCGCAGAACATGATTTCAATTGCCCACATCCTGAGCATGCGGATGCATTTGGACAATGCACATGACTTGCCTTGCTAGTGACCCTAGTGACCCAGTGCGCCTGTGGGTCACGTTGATACTGTATAAGTAGCAGTAGAATCTGATCTCATACCTTCAATCCGCCAATCCATCATCTACCTTCCACGCCAACCCCCTCACAGGAGGGGTTGCTAATCCGCCTATCCACCGGATGTCGAGGTTGGATCTTCCTCGGCATTGCGGAGGGGCTTTGCAATTGGTTTCCGGCCACCTTCGGTGTGGACATCTTCCGATCCAAGTGGGGCACCCGTGCTCCGATCATTGAGGGAGGCAGCTGCCGCTAGGGTTGGGGGAGTTGAGAGGAGTTGAGAGTTCTCAAACATTTTGAGAGAGTGACAGCAGCTGAACTTCCCTGTGCTATGGTGAGAGTAATTTGCCACACGAGCAATGATGTACGATGTGTGGGTTACTTTTCTTTGGGTAGTTGCAGGATGCAAACTATTCGGCCTTGCATTTTTTGCCAGCACGCAGGAATTGAGGAGGAGGAGGAGGAGGGGGAAGGAGGCGTGAAGAAGAGGGAGGGCTGAAAACAGAGAACTTCCACCTGTTCCTTAATTAAAGCAGTGCCTGTAGGGCCCATGCATGCTTCGCTAATATAGCCAAGACACCAAGTCGCTCAGCTTTAGTCACGTATAATGAATGCATGGTCAAAACAGCTTTCACAAAAAGTGGGGGAATTCTTGAGCATCGGCACTTCTTGAACTTGGAGAAGAAACGCCCAGTGCATTGAAGGCGAAGAAGGTTAACATAGCACAGGCCACCCCGAAAGCATGCCATGGGCGCTTGTTTGATTGGTGTGATTCATGTCGGCATCACTGCAATATGTCAAGTGCTTGCCATTGTTTTTTGGTGAGATGCAAGTGTGTTACAATTAATGCAAATGTATACTTTTTCCAGGGGAGCATGCAGCCGAAGGGGAGCATGCGGCTGAAGGGGAGCATGCGGCTGAGGGGGAGCATGCGGCTAAAGGGGAGCCTGCGGCTTCAGAACAAAATGCTCTGGACATGGAGCATGCGCTGACGCACGCGGAAGAGCCTGTTGAACATGTGGGACTTGCAGATGTCCCTGCCGCTGAAGGCAGGTATTACCGGGTTACCGCGGCATGCCTTTGCTGTTTTCTTTGCAGTCTTTTGGGACCGTGACTGGTAGAGGCAGTTGGTTGAGGTCAACAGGTTGCCGTGTGACCTTCTTCGTAGCCAGTTTGGTTCCAGCCACGCGCGTCAGGACCCAAACAGCATGCTTTGTGTGACTACCATTCCTGCCTCCATAGGAAGAACGATATCTTAAGGTCCAACTAAGGAGGGTACAATTTCATGTTTCTACAGCACGTCTCTCGTTGACAGCACCTACAAGAACAAGGAGTTGACCCATGGCACATCGACGAATAGGCTGTGGCAATGGCTTTTGCTGCGGCCTTGTTTCTGCTGCCCTTGGCCAGTGGATATTGCCAGCAAAAGCCGGGAGAACAACATTCCTTCGAGTGCACTTTTGATGGTCAAAGCGAGCCTGATATCAACGTACCAGACTCCTGGGTGACTGATGAGTCCTTTCATTTGTCCTTGCAGGTGCGGTCACAAGTTCCCCTTGGCTTTAAAAATGAGACTGAGTGTCAGCAAAAGGAGATCGCTGCATTGGTGGGCTACCGTGGCAACTACGTGTCTCTCTACACACATGGCCAATACAGCATGGGTGAATGTGGTCTGGCTGGAAAGGGAGCCGTTCTCTTTTGCCTGAAGGGTGCCACTCCGGCACCCAGGATTGAAATCTCGTTGGAAGTGGAATCCAACCACCCTGCCGGGATTCGAGTAGATGGACAGATCCTGCCAGCTCAGAAATGGAAGCGCAACTTCACCATGACTTTCGGTGGCAGCTGGGGCCGCAATGCTTTTCACATTTTCACGATTCCGGACAAGAGTTCCATCGACCTTTGGCGTCTCAACATGGACGCACGTCGGAAGACATCCATCTTTGAGTCCAATGCCTCTGTACCCACCAACACTGTCTTTTTGATCCATGAGAGTTCACCCTGTGTGTCTGGCATCATGGAGGGTGGTGGTTGCTTTGACCCTGAGTTTGTCGAGACCTGTGTGAAGTCCGTGCCCATCTCCTTCGCATCAGACAAAAGGGATAGGATGAAGGTTGCAATGTACTTGACCTTCCAGGACACTGCAGCCTTGACCCTCAGCAAGGGATCCCGCCCCGCTCTTCAACCAGGAAAATGGCTGGTCTTTATTGCGTGTGGCAATTCCTTTCTTGACCGATGCCCTGAAACGACCGTCCATGTCGAGTCCTTTCAGCAGTCAAATCTCAACTGGAGATTGACCAGTGGCGTGTTGGTGGTGGTGCTTGGAATGCTGGGGGTTCTTTTCATGGTGAATGCCATCTATTGGTTTGCATACTTCGTTCTTTACCGAATCAGTGATCCTGGCCGTGAGACTCACAAGGAGCAGCTTTGGCCAGTACTTGTCGGCAGCTGCAGCCGCGCTCATATGACCGGTTTGCGGGACTTGGCGATGTTGGTCGCAAGGCCGCTTCCGTTCTTTGCCACCCTGCTGAGTCTCATGCTGGGCGTTTTCTTGGCCACCACGGCCCAATTTGTACTCACACACTACGGCCTCATGGTCAAGAGTGGAAATCGAGATGTTTGTTTCTACAATGAACGGTGCCATGGACATGAATTTTGATTTGACGCTTTTTAATGTTTTTCCGGTTGTTTCGGTTGCCGACCCGCTTTACGAGAAGCTTCATCGCAAGGGCAAAGAGGCGAGACCCTCCCTTTAAAGATTGCACCCTGTTGGACAGTGTGGGATGATTGGCCTCAATATGTGTTCTAGATTCTAGATATCAAACAATAGCATTGAGCCCTTCTGCAGCTTGTTGAGGTGCTACTACCCAGGTGTGAACAGTGACCTGCCTTGGAACAATATCATCTCTAATCTGGCATATTTTGTGGCAGGAGCCCATGTGATTTGTCAAGCGTTCTTCGCGGAGACTCGTTGTCGGACTTTCTCAAAGCGGGCGATGCAAAAGCTTTTTGCTATAATGGACGCTGACGGAAATGGCCAACCCATGGGCTACTTGAACCGTGAGAAATGGCATGGGTTATTCTTCAAGGCAGATCTCAACCGCAGTGGGCGGGTCTCAAGAGTCGAGTGGAAAGAAGCATATGGGACTCGTTCGGCCTTTGACTTCATTGATCGAAATGGCAATGGGATGCTGGACATCTCAGAGTGGGACGATGCCTTTGACCGTTTGGATGAAGAGAACCATGGCAGTGTCTCGGCAGATGATATGATACGAGTGGCATTGGGACCCAGGCAGATTGACCTGAGGGCTTTCTTTGCACTGGGAGTGGCCTTTGTGGCTGAAGGTGTGGGAAGCATGTGCTATCATTTGTGTCCCTCTGTCGAGACCTTCCAATTTGACACCTGTTTCATGATTCCAATTGCTAATGTCTTCACGCTGGTTCTTTTGGACTGGGACCTCTCGCCCAGACCAGATACCGTGACCGCACTGAAGTATATTATCTACGTGTTAATACCCTTGTGGCTGATCATTTTCATTGGGACGTGGTATGACATCGGGGTGTTTGCCACCTCGTTCTGGATATACTGGTTGTACGCCCTGCTGGTGATTGTGTGGTCCGTCCTCGTGGACGTCACGGGCATCCGGCGTATCTTCCAGGCGCCCGGCCGGTGCGGTGTTGTAGCCAAGCGGACATTGCAGATTGTCCTTTTGCTTTCGGTGGTCGTTGCCTTCTTTGTCCCAGATGTGCGTGTCCGGTATCTCAGTGGCACAGCAAACTTCTTCTTAGAGATCTCAATCCTTGTTATGATTGTCATCGTTAGCCGGCAGATTTATGAAGAGGACCTGCGTTTTCTTACCTGCGAGCTGCGGGAGATGGGTGCCCGCATCATCAAGAATACTCACGGCTCCTTGATGGTAGCCGTCGCGGTCATGGCTATGATATGCTTCACCAACAAGGTGGTCATTGTTGAGCCTGGAACTCCTCCAGCTGTGAGTCGCGAGGATAATCAGGACTGTGTCTTTTCGATTTTTGATTTGCATGATTTATGGCACTTTTTGTCAGCCACGGCTTTGGCACTATTTGCAATGCTACTCCTTGATGTGCGAGTGAATTCATGGGCTCGGAAGATGGGCATCGAAGTTCTCTTTGAGCGCCCCATGTTTGATGACGACTCTAGCGATGACAGCTCAGCCTCAGCCTCTTTTATCGACGAGGAGAGTATTAGATCACTCTCACCCTGCAGCTAGGCAAAAGACAAGTGTATACATTACATGCCCTCGGTGGGCCAATGCAGCAGCAAATTGCCAAGAGATAAAAGATCATAAAAAATCCTACTAGTTCGTGGCGCCAATGCCGAAAGAAAACTCCAAAGTTTTGTCAAAAGGAATGCGTGCATCAAGAGTGCCTTGTCTGCAGTAGTCTGCTTCCACCCTGCGGATCCGGCAGGCCTACGACGGCTTCGAGCTCCTGTGGAGTGGTGGCAAAGCCTCAAGCATGCACCTTGACTGAAGCACAGTCATATTGACAACTACATGAGATTGTTCCATGCTGTACTGTATATATATATAGATACAGTTCAACGCATTAAAAACAAGGAGATTGCAAGTCGTGTTGAGCTTCAGGTGCCCTCCAGATGGCCTCATGGCCCCTTAGACTGCACCGCCATCTCATCGATCCTTCAGACCTTCAGACTTTTGCCGATGAACATGCTCCGTTCATAGCGTCCTTGTTCCGTTCGTAGTAAGAATGCTCCTAGTAGCGATGCCAGGAGCCCCTAGTAGCTTCTTGTTCCTA